AGAACCAGGCTCAGTGTAAGCGGCCATCTGCTGAGGCCCACTGGGGTTCAAGGAGACAGATGCAGAGATGCAAAACACAACTGTAAAAGGCAGGAAACACACAGCCAGGCAGACAAGCTCCGAGCCAGCTCCCATGTCAGAGGATGAAGAGAGCACATGCAGTCAGTCACAGTCAGAAAAACAGGACTACACTGAAAAACAGGCAGATCTCCAACATCTATAAACAATGGTGTTGATGGCAGCAGCACAGCTTATATTTCTTTCCTGGATGATGTCACAGCCAAACAGGAATAGACCGGATGAGCTACTATTTGAAAAAGCAGAGAGAGCAGAACGTTAGAGATTGAACTAACAGATTCTGCAGAGTGGGAGAATAGAGATACAATGAAGCAGAATGATAAACATATACTTTATGATCTTTAAGAAATCAATTTCTTAAAGATTTACTGTGGGGAAAGATATATTTTATTTATTTGTATTCATTGCTTTCTTTTAGTCTTTAAAATCACAGGAATATTCACATAACTTTATATTGTTGTCTGTCTGATTTTCATCAATATAAATATTAAAACAGTTACTAAATGTTTGGAAGCCTTTTTATCGTTTTTAGTTTTACCTTAGTCATTTCTTTGGTGGCTACTTTTGACTTTGACTTTTTTACTCTGGTAGAAATATGCTGAATAGATGCTACTTTTACTTGAGAGGATTTTTTGGTATACTGTCTACATTTGAATGTAGTTAATATTTAAGCGATACCATTTGAAATAAACCTTATTTTCTCTCTAGGTGAAATGCTACCACCGGCGGAGCAGAGCAGCAGAGAGGGAGGTTGTGTTCAGAGTCCAGTTCCACACCTGCACAGTTCATGGAGCCCAGCTGTGGTTTGGAAAAACTGAACTAGACTTGGCCTGCTCAGGTAGAAAGCTGCTGCTCAGAGAATAGAGTTTAAGAAATGTATCTTAGAGTAAAAAAAAAAACAGTAACAGTATTTTTGTGGATAACTGGTGCATGCTAAGAAAACGTAAAGCTCCACAGCACTTATATGTATATATCTATATATGTATATAATGACATGGTAAATAGGAGACCTCCTAACTTGCATTTCTGTTGCTCCTTTAATCAAGACACTGTTTCTCCTCTGACCATTCTAGACTTGGGGCTTGCTTTAAAGTCAAATACCAAAGGACAGTGTCAGGTTAGATGACACAGATGTTTGCACATGGCTCTGTGAATTGCAGTCTCAGAGTAATCTCCCTCAGTGTTACACGCTGACGCATACAGTATGATTTATACAAACACACTGTGAGAAAAAAAAAAAAGACGATCGGGCTCTTTTATGTTCTCTGCTCTGTTCACCAAAAGCTTTCTCTTCCGTTCTGCTCTTCTTGTTTCTATTTTAAATAGTATAAAAGAAACAATTTTTTTATTTATCAACTTTGTTTTTTTAACTTCATAGATCCCACCTTTGTGTTGGTGTTTTATTTTTTTTTTCCTTGGTCTCTGTGGTTATGCTCTAGATATTTTAATAACTGCCTTGATGCTCATCTTTTTTCTGTAGATGACAGATTCCCTCCAGACGCTACAGTGGAGTTCATCTTCGCCAACAGTCCAGAAAAACTCAAAGGTATTTCATCTTTCTGTTTGGCTTTTTGTGCCTGTTTGTATAATGAATCGTGCCTATGTGTTTCATAATTTCATAAATCTGCTTTATAAGGTCGAGAATACAGAAAAAATGACTCTTCTGTCAAAGTAGACTACAAAACCTCAGACCCTGTTGTTAAATGGGATTCCTATGAAAACTTCAATCTACACCATGAAGACAGCATGGAAAGTGAGATGCATTCACAATGGAATAGACTTAAAGTTTTGTGTAAAAATATAAAACATTACATTGGTTTTCTTTTTCTTCTCCCCCTTCAATCAGATATCGCTCACACAAGAGGCCCACTAGATGGCAGCTTGTATGCCCAGGTGAGGAAGCGACGTGGACCAGGTGCAACATCCTCAGCTGCTTCGCCCAATGGATGCCTTACCAGTAGCCCAACTGTAAAACCCCAGTTTGCCTCCAAACCGCAACCCTTCACCTTCAACTGTAGCCCAAGAAGCTCTGTGGTCTCTTCAGATAAGCTGAGCGAAACATCGATGTCAATTAGCTGCTCTGAAAAAGAAAAACCTGACTGCACCTTGAGGAGAGGAGAAATGGGAGAACGGACGCAAGAGAAGAGGAGAGACAAAGAGAAAGACAGAGAGACTGCGATTTTGGATGACGGAGATCCTTCAAGTCCAGGGGTTGTGAGACGAGAGCGTTCCTGTTGTGATCGAGCAGTTCAGAAATGTAGTGATGCAGAATGGGAGAGGGAAAGGGACCCCTGTCTTTCTGATGGTCGGTCGCTTAGACATTGCAGCAGCATGAAAAAGCATCCAAAAAGCCAAACGCTGCCAGCTTTGCCGTCCAAATCTATGTCTCCTCCTCCCCATTCAGCTATTAGGGAGCTCTGCCATCGCCATAGTGCAGATCCTGTTGCTGAATTAACATGGGACCGTCCAATTCATCCTCCCTCGCTGCCCTGCATCAACAGGCCATGCTACCCTTATCCAACCCCAGAACACACCCTTCCTCACAATCATACACTGCCAGCCTCAAACAGATGCTATCCTGGAGAAGAATGTCACCTCTTGCTTTACCCCAGCCATGGATTAGGGTCTCATCCTTCCTTTCCACCACAGCCTGGAAACCCTTACAGAGAGCTTTTCATCAGTTCCCCTTCATCTTCTTCTTTTTGCCATTGTCAGGACTGCTCCAGGAGACGAGAACACCAATCAAACTCAGTTAAAGTCTTCCAACAAATGCAATCAGACCAAGCTGAAAACCCACACTGGTCACAAGGAACTGGGGGTCAGCGGTCAAGAGAGATACCCCCCCTTTGGGAAACAGAGAAGCCATGGGAAATGACGAGACAGGCAGAACTCTGGCAGTGTAAATCACCACTACCAGCTTTTCATCTCTTCCACTCTGCTGTGGATCAGGTTTCAAACCCAGAGAAGCCTAGATTTGCTTATGCACAGCATCAAAATCACCCCATTCCTCAGTCATTGATGGATATAAGGGATGGAGTAAGCAGCGGGTACCACACCCCTCTGCAGCCCCGACACTCGTGCCCCTGCTCTCCCTTTCAGTCCTCTCCATCTGATAGCCGGGGATATGCCTCAGGCTATCACTCTGGATCAGCATCACCTTTGCCAGCCAGTAGCCCATCTCCTGGAGGGGGAGGCCTGCCTGATATCCCTTCAGGATCCAGGGACCAGCCACACACAGAGCAACACAAAGGTAAACCTTTATATTTAGAATTTTGCTTTATTTCCATTGAAAAGAACTTGCATTATGAGTTATTGTCTCTTTCCTACTTTTATTTTCTTTCACCACTTCTCTCCTGTCAAAGTGGAAAAGGATAAAACTGTTGCAGAAGATGACATATGTCAAGGCTCAGAGAGTAAACTAGACGTCTGTCGTGAGTCAAACACCCCTGGAGCGGACTCTGATCACGACTACACAGTTATTGGCAGCAGCAGCCCAACTCACACAGAGGACAGGTTGGTAACCCGTTTTTTATTTTGTCTACACTAGTAATGTTTCAACATTTCAATATATAAAGAAATACTTATTATTCCTGGTGTTTAATTTCTTATTAGTGCAATTGCTGATAGCCCTGTTCAGAGCCAAGAAACTGTGACTCATTTGGACTCCAATAAAAATACAGGCCAATCTGTTACACTAACTCCATCAGAGAAACAAACCCAGAATTTAACAATATCTGCAAACCCCTCAAAGCCACCAGGAGAATCCCTTCTGAAAGGTGAAAGTGAACTTGGAGCAGCTGAGATCAAAATTTCGGATCAAAAGACCAAATCAACAGTTTCAAACTATGCCACCGTCATTATCCCTCAGGTTCAAGTTCAGCTCAATGGGACCACCCTTCCTATCACTGTAGCATCTGAATGCAATACAGGTGGGAACATGAATCCCTCTCGTAGTTCTTCCACCTCTTCCCCTCATACTCCTACTGGCTCTCCGGATAAACAGTCTTCTCCTCAACACTCCATGTCTGATAAAGACACAACTGGACAAAGACTTATCCCAGATCGTGACATCTCAACAGACACAAAACCTCCTTCACCTGTGCCAGATGGATACCATACACCCACCTTTCCCCTAGCCTCCTACTACTACTCCTTATTAAACGTTCCTCATGTGCCCTACACTGGCTACACTGCGGTAACGATCCCCGCCATCCAACCACCGCTGCCAGAGAAGAAACGATTTTCCTCTGCAGTAGTATCACCGAATGGACATACTGCTTTACTCCAGGCTCCCTCGTGTCCTTCACCAATTCACCATGTTACTTTCGCCCCTGTTGTCGGAGAGCAAAGAATGGAATCTGCACAACAGAGTCACACCGAAGAGACAGAAACAAGGGTGAATTCTAGGTTTGTTCAGGACAGCTCCAAATACTGGTACAAACCAGGCATCTCCAGAGACCAAGGTGAGGATTTTAGCACTGAGAAAAGATCCATAAATGTTTAGATTTATCATTTTCAAAGATCCTATATGTACTCTAGTAACTTCAAAGTTGAAAAGTTATTTATTTGCCGCTTCTGTTGTAGCCATTGCTGCGCTGAAGGACAAGGAGCCAGGGGCATTTCTCATCAGAGACAGTAACTCATTCCACGGTGCTTATGGCCTGGCTCTTAAGGTGGCCACTCCTCCTCCTAATGCCAACATTACTGGAAACAAAGGTATTTATTACACCTCCTTTTAAAGTCCGTTCTACATGTGCTTAGTGGAGCATGAGAGGTCTTGGAACTGTGTCCCTCACGTTTTTTCAATAGGGGCATTTTTGGCAGAGGATTTTTGTTCCTTCTGCTAATACCTGAACATACATGCTCTTAGATGCAACTACCTATAAATGAACATGCCCAAACTTCACTTCACATTTTTTACTCATGCCTCTACATTAATAAGGTTGTACATGAACACTTACACTCCACTCTCAACACGGCAGTGTTTAAGGGTCCTCTCCCATTTGAGTAACAGTGAAGAACAGTTCCTGAATAACGGGTTACAGGAAGGAGGTTTTCTTCTGTCAGAGGTCAGAACGTCATTCTTTAAATCATAATTATTTTGGTTGAAAACAAGGATTTACAAAGAAATCTGTAAAAGGGAATTAGTTTTTTCATTTTCTTCTTTTTCTATCCAAATGTGCCCCTCTTATATCACATCCTATCTTCCTGCTTTAGGTATGCTGGGTCAGTTACCCTTCAAACTCTAAGCCAAGGTCTGAATAAACTGTTATTGTAACTGTGCCAGCACGGTCTGCTGGTTGTGAACCAAATCCAGGACCCTAAACTGAGCCTTGAATGGCTACAGCGGCAGTCTCTGCAGCGTTAATCCAGACCATGGTTGAATTCGGCTGCAAACAGCCTATGCTGAGAAAGTCCTTTATCAAAATTTCATAGACGATTGATTCAATTGCTGTGTAGGGGTTTCTGGACTCAGTGTTAGAGATGGGAGAAAGAGTTTTCACATTCAAGAGGAACTTGATTGAGTTCCCTCATTTATGAGACCCCATGAATGAAGCTTTTGCTGAACTGGAAAGCTCCTACAGTGACCAAGTGCTGCACCCTAAATGCACCAGGGAGTGTTATCACAGATTCTTCCTCCCAGAAGCTATAAGACTTTATAACCATCACTGTTCCCAACAACCTCAATAAGTTGTTACATTCATGCAGATTTTTGCACAGTTTCTGTCTTAGTTGAATATAGCAGGAAAAAAGTATTCAACTATTCACTCCAGTTAAATAAGCAGAGATCGATGGATTGAGAAAGAATCTGGCTTGTTATGGGAAGAAGTATGTCTTGTCTGCAAACACCCCTCACT